AGGAGGTTGTCGGCACGGCTTCTGGGGGTTGGCAGTGTGGCCCTTCCTTTGGGAGTTCACAAGCCGAAACATCCTCGGTCTTGTCTGTTGATTTCCTTTTAACAGTTGTCGTCTCTGGGGCAGGGATCTTGATCTCAGAAATTACTTCTGCTGCTGTTTTCTTTTGGGATTGCTCCTCGCATAGGAGCATTCTCGGTACCTAGACCGAAAAACCTCCCTACAGTAGATGTTTTTTTTGTTGAATCTGCGATCATTTCTCTTGCCTCTGGCTCCGGACGTAGCATTTTTGCCACTGCCATAACTACCTTTTGTTCCACCTGCATCTCTTTCGAGGCATTAATAATCAATCGCCACACCCTGCCGTGCTTCTGCATCTCTTTCCTGTCATTAGGTTCATCAATAGTTTGTTCCCAAAGTTTGTCCCCAATTTCTTTCCAGTATGTTATACTAAATGCTAGTGTGCAATACTGCAACAGTCCGTTCTTTTCTGCCCAAGTTAATAGGGCAATAATAGCCTCAACTTTAACCTCGGTGCCTCTTCCAAAGAGGATAGTTCTGAGGTGAGCTGCAGCATTCAGCTCCATCACTCACGCCGATGGTTTGCGGATGGCTTCTGCCTGCTCGTAAATCCTGCGTGCGAGTTGTTTCAAAGTCCCACCTTAGTGTCAGCTCACCTTGTAAATTTCTAGGTCCTGAAGGTTCGAAAAAATTTCTAAGTTCCAAAGGTTCGAAAAGTTGTGTATCCTCTGTGATCTTGGAGACGGGTAACGTTCACATTGACTCCTTTCATTTTTTGTTGGAGCTACTTGATGATTAACGCTTCTAGAATGCAGAACTGACTCTGAAATATCTTGATTAAACTTTTATTTTTACAGTTACTACGTCATCATTCTCAGTGGAGTATCGGCCTCTCATGTTTTGACCAAATCTGTTGTATTAGCAGTGTCACAAACTGAATAATTTCATTTTCAGTAGATCACTTGAAAAGCTAAAGTTGTAACTGCTGCCTGTAGAGGGGGGGGGAGTGTAGGTTATTTCTAATGAATAATAGAAGTTACCGTATCTAAACCAAGCTTGTGTGTTGCTCTGTGTAATGATTCAGGCAGTATTGATGGCACCCGGCAAGCGTGAGCGCAGTAATTTGACAGCCCTGTGTTTCCTAGGTCACATAGATGAGCGAGCAGTTTGTAACGCCATCGCACCTGAGAAGGATGTGGATGGGTTTCATATCCTGAACATTGGGCGCCTGTGTCTTGATCAGCCTTCTATAATACCTGCCACTGCTGCTGCCGTGTGGGAGATCGTGAAACGGACCGGTAAGAAATGGAACTGTATTGAGACTCCTTTTATCTGGGAAGATGAATGAAGGATGAAGTCAGGTGTGAGTTAAAAGGTGTACGTTATCTAAATGTTTGGGGCTGATTGAAGAACAAACATTTAGAGGATTAATCTAAATAGTAAGGAGGTGCCAAATAGATGAGATCTGTTGCCAGTAGCATAACCATTAATTAAGTGTAGACTGTAGTCCATGTAGAATACTTGGTGAAACACTTTGATAACTTACTTGCTGCATTTTGTAACATTGCAAGGAACTTTCTGTGATATTGCTGATGTCCTGAGTAGAAGTGCTTGTGGGGGAAGGAGAAGAAACAAGAACAAACCCAGGGAAATTTAATTCAATACCGGAAGGGGAAAAGAGTGTAGATGCATTCCGTAGTTGTCATTTGCTAAGTAAAATACATGTGTTTCTAGTGGTAGATGTAAGAGCTTCCAATTCCTGTTGTGGTCAGAGAAAAGAAATGAATTCCCTGCAAAGGGTGGTTCAGATAACCTGAATGAGTTACCACTTGTCTTCCTCTAAGGTGAAAGGTGAAGGTTGTTTTCTGGATTCCTCCCTCCAGTTCAGCCTTGTGGATTTTCAAGTCGTGTTGATGTCAGCAGTCCACAACAGCAAATAATTATGTCTTGGGGATTGAGAAGAAGGCTTTAGGTGTATCAAAGTACAATTTTTTAATAGGGTGGTTTGTTTTTTCTTTTTTCCTGTAAGGAATACAAACATTTGGAAAAAATGTTGTTGTAGCTGGAAGGTCTAAGAATGTTGGAATGCCTATTTCAATGCTATTACATACTGATGGAGAGCATGAAAGGCCTGGAGGTAAGTCCATGAATGTTGTTTTAATGTTTCCATTTGTTAAATCACTAAAGGAAAGCTGGCCAGATGATTCAGATAAAAAGAGAAAGCTTTTGTCTCTTGTACAACATTTGCAACCACTTCGAGGAAATAAATTGGCTAATGTGTTTCCTGACGTATTCCTAGGAGACTGGTTTCTGGACTTGACTTTTTCTGGTGTCATGTCATCATTTTGTCCTCTGTTTGAAACAATTACTGTTTAAACATGATTAGCACCAGACCTTGAGGATCATGTCTGACCGTGTGGCCTTAAAGAGGTACAGAGGTTCACGTGATGTTTATACAAAGTAATGTAGCTATATACTTTACCCTTGTGCCTATGTAATAGTAATTTCAAGTTTTTCATACACACACTCACGTATCTTTTGTATATATATGACATGATTCCTGTGTTGTGCTGTGTTAGGTGATGATTATGAAAATGGCCAAATGACCAACAAAGTAACTTTTTGATGCGAGTTCTATGATATTACATATTGGCCTGGGGTATTTTTTCTGCAGTGTGGTTTATATCCCCCTGGAAATTGAGGGTTGTAATGGAAATACCTTTAAATAATTCTAATTACAGAAGCATGCATGTGCTGCTATAATTGTGCTGTAGAAAGAAAAACAAATATAATTTAAATAGAATACTATCCTTTGCAACTTCATTTTGATGCTGGAAACTGCCAAGGTGGTGTGTGCCAGTGAGGTGAACATGAACGTTTAATCCCAGGCATATTTAATAGGAGTGGAGTGAAATCTGTTATTAATATAATAAAGCACTAAAAGCTTCTTACTAATCATAGAGTTGGTTTTTCCATTCAGCCTCTGTGGGAAAGTTGCTATTTGAAACTTCTCTCAGTGTTGGAATTGTAATTACCATCAGTGGATAGTACTAGTCTCATCCCCATTCCCATGAAAATTACTAGCATTTTTGCCATTTGCTGCAGGTTTGGGGTTGTGTATGTCACTGGTAGTGCAGCTCTGTGTTTGAAGTAGGCTTTACACTACACAGAGTGGTGTTGCCAAGTACTTAAATGTTTCTGGGTTGGAAACAAGGAGAGGTCATGACCCTTGATTCTCATTCTTTCAGCAACTTGTTACAAAACCCATAGTAGTTGCATGGGTATTTTTTAGCTGTAACTAGTTACTGGTTTGTAGCTTTCAGCTTTTGAGTCAAGTGGATCTGTGGCTCAATTTTGTTCTCCTGTAACCTGGGTTTGTCATTCTTACTGACTGCCCCGTAGTATGACTTGTTTTTGGGGGCTAGTCACGAGTTTGTTGGCCTGTAAATGACCTTTGTTGTGCCTTATGTCATCTGCCTTAGTTCTGATAGCTGCCATACTGCAAATGACTTCACTGGCAGCCCAATCTACTGGCATTGTCATTGATGCTCTGTGTGGCAGGTATTCTCTGTAGGCACAGAAAAACGTTTGCACGTTCCCTTACTGACAGTGGCACTGGAATCAAGGAGATGGAGCTAAAGCGAAGACTGGAAATGTGAACATAATGAAAATAAAAGCTTGCGTAGAGCAATCCTTTCCACCCATTTTCTTAGCAGTTCGTAACAGGGAAAAAATTGTGCATTATGATGAGAGGCATCTATCAGGATACTAGATGACGTAGTGTTAGCAAGAGCATTGAGTTTCTGGATTCTGTTTTAGGTTTGAAAATTACATGTTGGACTTGCTCATTTCATTTTTTACCAAACAAAAGCAGGCTTTCTTCTTATGCATGTGTTTAGAACAATTTTAACCTATTAATACAAATGAAGAGGGAAGCTCTTTTATTCTTTTTTTTTTTTTTTTTTTTTAAATTAAAAGGATGGGGACCAGACAAGGCCTACAGTTAGGTGCTGAAATAGAACTTTATCAGATTATCTGCCAGGAAATGTTTTATCAGGAATTTGGCTGATTTGATTAAATAAGTTTTATTGACACGTGATACAAAGAGGGGGTGGTACTGTCTTTCTTTGGTTTTGTTGGAGGTTTTAATTCTTGGGTTTTTTTACAGATCATGGATAAAACTGAAAAGCTGGAGTCTGTTTTCATCTGTGATGTTTTGTATGTAGGAGCTGTCATGTCCTGCAGGTGGCAATATCTGTTCAGATCAGAAAACTTTCTGAACCGATAAAAAATTGTGCTTTGTGTTGGCAGGTCCAGAGACGATCTTTGTTTTATAAGGTAGTGAGTTGACTCAGCAATATTATGCAGAATCTTAAATATATTCCTCTTTTTTTCAACAGAAGTAGCAGTATAAAAGTAGTTGTTTGTTTTCTGTTTTGGCATGATCACAAATAAATGGAAAATATACCCTTTCTGAGGTGTCTGTAAGCCTCTGGACTGCTGTTCCGAAGGTAGGGGCCTTGTTTTTTTTTTTCTTTTTCCCCTTCCCTTTTTTTTTTCCTCCTTTCATTTTTGGTAGTGAGAACAATTACTTGGTTTCAGGAGCTATCTACTGACACAGTCCTTGGTAAAATCTTGATGGGAAAATAGTGCTGATTTTATTTCTCAGAAGGTGTGAGTATCTGTAACTTGTGATTTTATACACTGTTTTTACTCAGCCTCTCTGCTGAGTGCAGGATAAGAAGTTGAGAGCATTTCATGCTGTATATATTTTTTGGAAGTAGCGATTGTGATTTTTGGGCAAGACATACTTCTTTTGCTTAAAATAGCTATCGGAAGACTCCTGTATTTTATTCAAGCTTTTCTTTCCAGGGTCCATTTGCCTTTCATGTGTGAAGGATGACCCTTCAGAGCACCCTGAAGTTATAGCATTATTGATAAAGCATTAACCACAAAAAAAGGAAGTGTCCCATCAAAGAATAGGCATGGTTCTTCTGCAGGGGACAAAGTGATTGATTATTCATGTATTTGGAGAATGAGGCCTCCAAAGGAGGAAAATTCTGAGCATCTCTACAGCCTGCGTGCTGCTCACTCAAAGGAGCGTTCAAAAGACTGTGAGCAGTCTACGTAAGAATGAATGAGCAGCTGCTGCTTTAGCTCCAGTTGTTTTGTCTGTATGAGTTGTTATTTCATGATCTCAAAGATATTCAAGGAAGATAGTTGAAGGAATCTTGACACACAGGCTTTATGTACTATACTGGCTGGGATGTGACTGTCACAAGAAGGGTTACTGCAGAGAGGTTTTTTTAAGACTTGTAGCTGTTGAAGCTATCAGTGCGATTAAATTCATGGGAAGTTCTAGAAAGTTAGTGAGAGACTTTATGCACATCTGTACTTTTCTGTTCTCATTATCTGAAAATATTTTGATCCACTTATCTTTGAGGAGATGATAAGCACTCCAGAGACTGAAAGAGAAGAGGGATCAGAGGTGAGGGGAAAGAGCAGGGAAGTCAGAGCACAGACAAGTTGAAGCTGAGATGCTTGGGGAAGAGAATTAAATGAGATGAGAGGCACAGATCAGATCAGTCAGACATTCTGGAGGAAGCAAATGTGGTGGCAATGTCTGAGATGGCAAAACCTTTTAGATTAATGGTTAATAATGGTCTCTGATGGGTGGAAGGTGAAGGGGGATGTTAAGACCTGAATGCTGTGCGGTACACAAAGTTGACAGGGAGAATGTTGGGAGGAGCTTCTGTTGATAGCTGCTAGTCTTTGCTGTTTTCCTGGGCAGTCTCTGACATGTCGCCACGCTCACTGGTGGGTGCAGTATGAGATTCTGGTCCCTGTCCCCGTGCCGATAGGTGTGTGTAGTGGCCTCTTCTCAGCATCTCCATCAAACAGCACAAGGTTTTTCACATCTTACTAGAAAGGTTTATTTGTAGCTTCTAGCCAAGAAATGTGAATACGTGCAGGAGCAGGCCCCAGATCTGTTGACTTTGCCCAAAAGGGTGCACAATTCTGTTTGTGGGAAGTTCAAACTCCCTAGTCTGGTGTGAAGTAAGGGTTCAGGTCTTGTTGTTTTCACAGGAGATACAGGAGATGGTGGGACACTTGCAAAAATCTCAGCACCTTTTTGTCCAGTCGTTTCCTTGCGTTCCTGTTGTTGCACTCAAGCTACATAAAGCAATGGCTTGTAATGCTTTGAGAATGTGGAAATCTGTATGGGTTGGATGTATTGATTCCTTAAGTGGTTATAGTGATAAACATGCTCGGACGCACCCAGTTGGAATTTTGTAAATACTGCAGCTGCTGTGGGTTGTGCTTTGCATGTACGTTCAAGGGTGCCTCTCCTTGATGAAATCTTGTAGTGTGCCAGCCAGGAGAGGCCTTTTGCTGCCTAACCTTTGCATACAGGTATCGATCAGTGGGATTTCTAAGCACAGACCCATGGCCCAGGAGTGTCCTCATCATCGTAGCTACTAGACTCATTCACTGTGCCATCAGGCCCTACACAGAGCAGAGCTGCGTTTTTCATCTCCTGTTGCTGGCCAGATTATCAGTGCTGTTAATTCTTGTGAGAGGGAATATCTGTAAGAAATAGTGCCAGTGCCACTGCACTGAACTTAATCACCAGTTATTCCTTGAGCACTTAAAATCTGTCAAAACCACTAAACGTTGACTCGAGGGAAATGCTATTATGAAGTTGGGTCACAGGTGCAGGGCAGACTGTGGTCTTCCTTCCTTTCTGTCCGACAGAATGTCACAGGATGTATCTCTGGAGCTTCAGAACAAATGAATGACAGTTGTGGTTGAGGACAAATCTGAACATGGTGATCTTGTACTTGAAGCTTCGGTTTGTGACAAGCACTATATAAATTGTGCTTGAGGGAGATGCTGGATTCCGTGCTGGGTTTGCTCTGTGTAATTCTGCTACGTGTAATGAAGCTAATGAATAAGTTAGTATACAGTGTAAAAATGAAATCTTTGAGAATTTTCTAATAATCAACATTTCTTTGTATGTCTGAACAGCAAGCGTTGTGAGCTTTCTGTTTGTGCTGAAATGATTGATGCATCTCAAGACAACTCCAATGCTCATCTGTACTGTTGTTCGTGTGCCTAAGTCAGTCATTTGTGCCTGAAAGTAAACGCTATACAGGTACTTTATATGTGACAATTAACCAATGATCTCTTCCATTTCAGGTGATGCTACAGTGACCATTACTCACAGATACACACCAAAAGAGCAGCTCAAGATCCATACACTGCTCGCTGACATTGTGATAGTAGCTGCAGGTAATACTCGTTGTTAATACTCTGTTCACAGTGTTTCAAACCTAAAAGGCAGACCTTGGTGTCTGTGTTGGTGGCACTAGGAACTATTTCAGGCTGCAGCAAGTAATTGGTGCTCGTGCTTGTGGAGGGTGTTGTGGTAAGTAGGATTTCTTGCTGTAAGAAGGGCGAGAGATTTAATGCTTTGTTCTTGCCCTTCACATTTGCAGACTCATGTGCTCTTTCTCATCACATGTGACACCTTTCCCTTAGGGAGACTTGAGAGTGAACTCAAGATTGGGAACCAGTCAGTGCGTAGTTTATACAGGTATAATTATGTAAATTAAAACATTCTCCGTGCAGTGCAAAAATCATGAGTCATTTAAATTTTGACAGGACGGTTTCTTTAAATCAGCTGGAGGCTGCATTCATAAAACAGTGGTATCATTCCATAGCTGCTAGAATTAAGGGAAACCTTGCCAAATTAACTGTAGTTTTGGTAATGTATGCTGTTAATGGCTGAATTTTTATTTTATCTTTTAATTTTACAGTCTTCACGTAACGAGGGAGAGAATGGCAGTTGCCTGGTGGAAGGGGGCTTGAAGGATCAGTGTCTATATTCTTAAAGCAATAGAGAGTGAATTACTTGCAATTTGACTAATCTAGAACAAAGAAAGAAGCATAACTGCTTCTGAGCAACCTCCATTTTTTATGAGTATTGTGAGTTGAAATACAAAATAATTTAAATAAACCCAAATAATCCAACTTTAATCCAACTTCCTAAAAACCATTGTAAAATTCTGCATTCCCTCATGGCTCAGGATATCCTCTTTCTCTGGTACTGTTTTAGAGGACTACAAGAGAATTGTCTTTCCTCTTTTCTCTCTTCGCCAACAAGTCCAAATTTTTGCTTGCTTATTTTCTAGATGAAGACAGATAGATAGGTGCCTCTCTAAAGCCCATCACTTCCTATTGAAGTGAGATGCCCTCTGCTTTAGGGCTTAACTGCACTATCTTTTTCATGCCAGGTCAGGAACAAGAAATGGCTCAGTCGTCCCACATATGGTGACTCAGTTGTGGGCCTGACCAGCATTCACACACTATAAATGAGAGATAGTACCGTGTGCTAACTGGAAATAAGCCAGTCACTTTTCATCCACATACAGTGCTTCAAATTTAATCACGGCTTCTTACGCTTGTAGTTAAATGGTACAGTAGCAATTTGGTCGTGTATCTTCTTTACATTATTTTCCTCATGTCATTTGTAGCAGGAGCGTGATACAATCCTCATGACACAATGTGAGATATACTTGGAATGATGAAAAAACTGAGGGCTGGATTGTGCAAGCAGCATGCAGTCCTGCCCGGGTGCTTGCTCCAGGGAGGATTACACTTGAGAAAGGTGGAATCCCTCCAAGGTCCCTCTTGTAACTTGACAGCTGTGCATACTGTACCTTTGGGATCACGCGTTGCCCGGAAATGTGTGACCTGTTCAGTCGGTGTTGCAAAAATGTAACTTCTGCCCTGACAGGTAGAAAGAGCTGCTGTCACAGGCCACTGGGCGAGATGTGCAGGGGGAAAGCACCTTTTTGTGTGTGTCTGCATATAAGAGCAAGATTCCTATTCTCATTTTCCTCTTCCCATGTGATTCTTTTAGAAGAGCCATCTGCATTCTGGCTCCCAGTTTGGTGACTTGTTGCAGTGAGTGTTGCATTCTGATGTGGTGCTCTGTCCCCAAGGAGTTTTCTTGTCACTTGCATTCTTGGCTTTTATAAAGCTTCAAATCAGGTGTTTCTGGCTTTATTCTCGAGTTTGAGAGTACCTATCTTCATATGTTGTCTCTCATTTGCCCCCAGCCTAGGAACCCCGGTTTTCCTGCTTACTTGGGTTGTAACTCTCCATGCAGTTTATTCCATCTGTCCCGTTCCCTCCCAGCTCCTTGCATCATAAGTGCCAGCAATGCTGCTCTTGTCCAGCCTATCCCTCCTTAAAATCTGTGTCTCTGCTTCCAGATGGAGCTTCCTAAAGTCTTTCAATACCCTGCAGCTTTTGCATTTCTAGCGTTATGTTTTCTCCTAAGCACACCCAGCACTTTGCATCTCACTTTAGTCTTTCTCATATTTGCCCACTGTCCCTGGCTGCACTGATGTCCCATGGAGTCTGTTCTTCTTGCCATGGGCCCAGACCCATCACAGAAGGAAAAAGTGCAGTTTCATCTGTGGTGCCTGAATAGCTCCCACAGCACTTCCAGGACAGTGATGGAGGCAGTAGGTGGTGTTTGACTAGTCACCCTGCTGCTTTGGCTCTCCTGGCCTTCCAGTCTGCCTTGAGAGAAAAGACTCTGCCTGCTAGATTTGGAGAGGGGTAAAGAGAAGAAGGAACAAGGGTGCCAAATGCCAGGTGAAATTCTTCTGGGACTACTGGTGCTGTCCCTTGTATAGGAATGGCTGATTTGTCAGCACCTTCTATTCATGGTGGCTGATTAGCTTTGTCAGGAGCAGTTTTACATTCCTTATACTGAAGCTGCATTTAGGTAGGGCTTCATTTCTCTTTTGTTTAAAGGATGATTCATCATTTTTTTGCAAAAATAACCAATGAAAGAGTTTTCCCACATTCTTCAGTTAGTGCATTTTAGGAATAGCTGCTCTAAGGCTTATCTCTTCCTACTGGGTATGTAAAGTAGGCTTAAGTAAATAGATCTGCTCATTTGGTTTGAGGGTTAGTTTATTTGTTGCTATTAAGTATTTGGCCTATTATCAATCCGTTTTACAAAGGGTGTAACTGTGCAGCCTCCGTTAACATGCTTCTATCCCTATCGCGCGCAGATCATTTACCCCCATAAGGCTGGGGCATTATCCAATTACCAGCCAGCTCGCCATGGATTGCAAAAGAGCGTGATGAAGTAGACGCAGCCAGGTGTTATCAAATGGCATAGCAAAGAATCTGAGGTCTTGGCTTGCTCAACATTAGAAGCCAAGTTTCAAGCTCGTGTCCTATGGGGGAGTGAGAAATGGAGAGCCAGGAAGGTTCTTGTATTGCCTGTATCTCAATGACTATCTGTCTGTGATCCAGCACTTCAGATGAATCCAAAGCCCTTGCATACCAGCACTTGCCTCTAGTAAAACTACAGTCTCAAACCATATGGATTTGCTTTCTTCTCCATTCTTTATTTCTTCTCCACCTGACAGAAAGATGCTTTTGTGGGGAGAGGGGAGCTTAGCCTCCTGCTTTTGGAGTTACTCTTTTACTAGTGTGGACATGGCTCACAGAACATAGAAGGGACAGAATTGCTCGAGAAGCAAAGAGAATTGTCATCTTAAAGTTGGAAATTCTTATTGTGCAAAGTTGGAGGTTTCATGGCAGGAAAGAAATTTAAGAGGTCATTTCAAGTGAATTCAGAGAAAAGCTTGTCACTGTTGCAGTTGAGGTGTGATAGGCTAATGCAGGTGATGTGTAAGGATGTGATATTCTCTGCTCTCCAATGGCGTGCAATGACTATGGTCTTGGGTACCACTTTCCTTTAAGGTTCCAGGAGACTCTTTGTTATGAGTGTCCAGGTGCAAATGTTGAAGTGTCTGGTCACACACGGTGCTGCTGTTTGTAAAGCAGCACTGGTACATTTGTTACCATAGCCTTTCCTGACATGAAAATGGCTCACTGCAAACAGGGATCCTACAGAATCACAGAATGTCAGGGGTTGGAAGGGGCCTCTGGAGATTGAGTCAAACCCCCTGCCAGAGCAGGAGCATCTAGTCTAAGGCAGGTCACACAGGGACGCATCCAGATGGGTCTTAAAAGTCTCCAAGGCAGGAGATTCCACAGCCTCCCTGGTAAGCCTGTTCCAGTGCTCTGTATCCCTTACAGTAAAGAAGTTCTTCCTCATGTTGAGGTTTGTATCCGTTGCCCCTCGTCCTATGGCAGGGTACAAGTTGCCCGTTTCTTCATGACACCCAGCCCTCATATATTTATAGACATTAGTTAGATCCCCCCCTTTAGTCTTCTCTTCTCCAGACTGAAGAGCCCCAGGTCTCTCAGCCTTTCCTCATAAGGCAGGTGTTCCAGTCCCCCAATCATCCTCATAGCCCTCAGCTGGACTCTCTTGAGTAGATCTCTGTCCCTCTTGAAATGGGGAGCCCAGAACTCGACACAGTAATCCAGGTGAGGTGTCACCAGGGCAGAGTAGAGGGGGAGGAGGACCTCCCTTGTTCTGCTGGACACACTTTTCTTGATGCACTGAGCTCCCAGCCTTGGAAGGAGGGTCTTTCCTGAACATCAAGTGGAGCTGTTGGCATGCCAGCGGAGTCCTTCCTTTACCTTCAACAGGTTGGGGAAGAGAGAAGAGATTGATCTCCTCAGAGACTGTGCTCCTCAGAGTACGTGCTAGCTGCAGTCAGAAATCCTGCACAGCAGCGGTCTTTACACAGTGGAAGCCATTTCATGTCCAGGATTATGGCCTTAGAAAATGATGTTTTGCTGACCCAGGTCAGGTTTTGTGTGTAATTCAGTTGTCATTTTTGTACTGAAGTTGTTTCTATACATAAGTATAGAAACCTATATAGGTATATATTAGGTATCAAGTATACCTAAGTTTTGCTATGTATATGGATAGCTTGACTGGGCTGGGAATGTGTAGCTATTGACTCAGCTCTTTATCTGGTGTTTGAAGTGTCCTTTTAGATTTTCTGGGTCCTGACTGTTGAACATCTTCATGATGAATGTCAAGGTGTTTTACATTTCCATGTGCTGAAGAAATGTTGTGTATATGAAAGAGCTGAGGTGCCTTTTTGCTGCACTCTCTTTTTAGAAGAGTCAAGTGAAAGGAGTACTTTCTTTTTTGTGCATACAAACACGTGCATGCATACCCCTTGATACAGTTTGAAACTGATGACCTAAGACTACCTGGCCATATTAATGAAACCTATCTTGATAATTCCAGGTATCCCAAAGTTGATTACAACTGATATGGTCAAAGAAGGTGCAGCTGTGATTGACGTAGGCATCAACCATATCCACGATCCTCTTACAGGGAAGACCAAATTAGTTGGGGATGTGGACTTTGAAGGTCAGTGAAACACTCTTTATATGAACTCGTTGGATAAATACATGAAGTTTGTGGGATTCATTCACAATGAATACTTGGAATAGCCAGTGTCAGAAATGAGGCAGTGCTCACAGGATTTTCTTCTAGTTTATTTACTTAAATGAGAAAACAAACTATATGTTCATATATCTGCTCTGAAGAAATTGTATGTTATTTAGGAGAGGAAGTGTCACTTTTAATGACACGTACCAGCAAGCTTTAAGAGGTGCAGATGAGATTTTATAAAAATGTGGTGGCAGAAGATGCCTGTCTTCAAGTTTCTTTAATCCTTTATGAGTCTGTGGAGTATATCAAGAGTAAGCAATAAAAACAGTTTCTGCTCCTTCACAAACAAGGGTCTCCCACTGTTCTCTGCAAATATCGTTATAGGACAGCTTCTCAAACCTCCTTTTACACTCTAATGCTACATTTGCATGTGAAAATGTTAACTTCTGCTTTAGAGGTATCCTTTGTGCCAAGGTTTAGTGTGGGTTCATCTTAAGCTGTTGAAAACCTTGGTCCGGGCAAGCCTAAGAGAAAAAAAAATGATGTTACATATTGATCTTTTTATGCATCAGGTGTTGCAGAGCAAGTTCGCAATGTAACTTGATTAAATATCTCTGCTCTGGAGGAGCTCCCAACTGGAAGAGCAGGATTGTTGCAGCTGAAAATTAAAGCTTCTTGGCAGAGTTGAGTGTGGGAAGCTTAGACAGCATTTACTCACATTATTAATGGTTCTCAACAGTTCCTTATTTTGATAAGTATGAAAATCACCCACAGGTTTTTTTCACAGTTATTAACATCTTGGCTGGCATAATGTCTCAAAGCTTAATTATATTCAGAATGTTTCTAGCCAGCTGTATGTATTTGTAATTACATCACTCCCTTAGCTCCTGCTTCTTGTACTCCCCATGCATGATACCTGTGTGTTGAAGTCCATGCAGTGACCCGCATGGGTGTAGCGAAGCCATTGTCTCAGTGTGCCTTTGGGAGAGTGTAACTGGATGTGTGCAACAGAGCAGCTCCAGCAGGAAAAAGCTTGGAGAGCACAGCTTGATTTTTTTTTTTTCTTTTGCTATCCTGCTTGTGCTATCCCAAGTAAATGGTTACGTTTTCTGCATTCAGAACCAAGCTAGAGCACAGAGAATTTGGGTCATTTTTTGTTTGCTTTAGTAGGTATGAGAGGAAAAACTGTTGTTTAATATCTTCATCAATGACACAGACAGTGGCATCGAGTGCACCCTCAGCAAGTTTGCTGATGATCCTAAGCTGGGGGGTGCTGTTTATATGCGAGAGGGATGGGAGTCCATCCAGAGGGGCCTGGACAGGCTGGAGAGGTGGGCTCAGGTGAACTTTGAGGTTCAACAGGGGCAAGTGCAGGGTCCCGCACCTGGGCTAGGGTAACCAGCACTATCAGTATAGACTGGGAGAGGGTTTACTGGAGAGCAGTCCTGTGGAAAGGGGCTTGGGAGTGCTGGTGGATGAAAAACTGGACATGAGCCACCAATGTGCAGTCGCAGCCCAGAAGTATAATCACATCCTGGGCTGCATCAGAAGAACTGTGGCCAGCAGTTCAAGAGAAGTGGTTCTGCCCCTCTACTCTGACCTGGTGAGACCTCACCTGGAATACTGCATCCAGTTCTGGAGTTTCCAGCACAAGAAGGATGTAGGCATATTGGAGCATGTTCAGAGCAGGGCCACCAAAATGATCAAGGGACTGGAGCAACTCTCCTATGAAGACAGGATGAGGGAGTTGGGGATGTTCAGCCTGGAGAAGGGAAAGCTCTGGGGGGACCTTATAGCAGTCTTCCGGTACCTGAAAGGGGCCTACATGAAGGAGGGAGAAGGTCTATTCAAAAGGGTTTGTAATGATAAGATAAGGAGTAATGGTTTTAAACTAGGAAAAGATAGATTTAGACTCAGTATTAGAAAAGAATTCTTTAATATAAGAGTAATAGATCATTGGACTGGACTACCCAGAAAGGTGGTGGAGGCCCCAGCCCTGGAGTCATTCAAGGTCAGGCCTGATAGGGCCCTGGGTGACCTTACCTAGGTAGATGTCCCTGCTCGTGCAGGGAGGTTGGACTAAATAACCTCTAGAGGTCACTTCCATCCTAAAACATTCTATGTTTCTATGAAAAAAAGCTTTAACTTTGCGAAACACAACATTGCATCCTTTTTGTTTGTTTTTCTTTAAATGCAAGACCTTCTGAATGTAATATAGGTGTAGATTCAATGGCAAGGCGGTGATTCAGAGTTTCAACAATGCACTGTATATGTCTCGTCATGTCTACTGTGGGTTGCTCTCAGGATTTTACCTGGGGGGAGGGAAGATCCAAAAAAGAGGGAGGAACTCTTCAACTTGGATTATGCCACTACAGTTGCAAGTAGAATTTCACTGTGCATTGCCAAAGGGAAATTGTTGTTGGTTCATCGGTATCGGTGAAAGTTTCATTAAATCTCTTAACAACAACAAAAAAAATCCCTGCCTATACAGTTCTAAATACTACGAAGCAAATCACCCTTGCCAAGTATTTGATGCGGCAGTTAGGAAGTGGAACAAGCTAGTGTATTCGTGTATCAAGTCATTTCATCTGTTTCCTCCATTTGATCACTTGACTGGATTTATATTTAAGTGTAAGTGAAAATGGTTTTTGCAGGTTAAGGCCAGGTACATAAGTGGTTGGTGTGACACTCAGCACCTGTTGAACATTGCATAGTCCACTAGCATCTCTTGTCTCATCATCCATGTGAAGTAGAAAAACGTGGCTGTGGGGACAGCAGAGATTTAACTGGGCAATCAGAGGTTAGATTTGATTACTAAGAAACAGATGGGAATGGCTTAGTTGGCCGGGTTGTCTGACTGAGAATGTCCCCTACTGGAAACTAAGTTTTTTAGATGTGTGGGAACTGTTTTGATTCAGTTGTCCTATCCTAGCAATACTTGGATCTCATTCTCTAATCTCTAAGGATTAGGTTAATTACTGAAATTTATTTTGATCTCTTTAACAACAAAATGATGCCATTTCAATCCTTTTTAAAATGTCTATTATTAAATTCAATGTAAGAAATACCCAGATGAAAAAATTCCTCCCATAGGCTGAGAAGGTTGGATAGCTGCTCAAAAAATGAGTTTTAAGCTTTGAACAGTGTTCTGAAGCCTGTGTTGTTTTGAGTCCTGTCTGCTCTGCTGCGGGCAGCGGATTTGCAGGCAGTCACCCGCGGGCAGAGACCTTGTCCTTGGCCATGGTTCCTGCAGGGGGCTGAGGTGGAGCACCAGCATACACTGGTGTACCTGTGGACACACTCTCAAGCCAAGGACTGTGCTTTGCCCACCCTTTAAACAGCCTAGATGAGGAGGAATGATGAGATTGTTTGGTTGACTTTGGAAAATTTAATAGTATCAGACTTGTGGCATCACTGTTACAGCTGCTGTAACAGTTGACTTGGCAACCGTGGCATCAGGGTACCTCCGTGCTTGTCAGACTTAACCACTTGTTTTGGGCAAAAATCTCAGGCTGTATGGTGGAATGTCTTTAAGTAGTATTTGTCATTTCCCCCATACCCATATGTCCTACTTATTTTGACATTCCAAACTGTGTCACATAAAAAAGGGGTTAATTTTTTTTTTTCTCGTCCCAGATAGTTTGCTGTGCACTTCCAAGGTGTCCAAAAGAACAAGACAGGCAAACATGGTGCATGTGGGTGTCAGCTGTGAAGTGCTGAGGTTTGTGGAATTGCTGGGCCATCTTCAACGACCTGTGTGTCTCTCCATATAGAACCAGTGTAGCACCTTCAGTGGATGTTAATGTTAAGAATTTGCCAAAATATACAGTCCAGGGAGGGAGCATTTCCTAGCTTCTGTGAGCCATGAGGGAGGGTGGAGTGCTTGGGAGAAGGGGAAGTGGGGGCATCCTTTGGTTATTGCCTGTGCCACTTTAGTTAGGTTTGGGCAGCCAGTTTCAGTCACAGAGAGGGAGATGTGTGTCTATGAACAGGGCAGTGCACGTGTGGGTGGACTTGGCCCTGTTTTACAGGGCTTGTGTTGCCACAGCAATAATACTAAGGGGGGAGGAGGGCTACAAGGACAAGGAACATGAAATAAAGCAACAACTTACAGAGAGCATTTAACTGGAATGGCTTTTTTGGGTGGAGCACCATTTCCAGGAGTGACTGGTAGAGCAGCATAGTAACACGCCAGTGTAGTAGCTAACCTTTGAAATTGGAACTGGAGGTGCCTGTGAGACCAAAGCATACAGAACTCAAGTGGGATTTGCTTTAAATGCTGCCTCTGTTCCTCCATGAGTCCTCCCATACCTCCAACAAGCAGAGTGTAATGCTGGGCTTTGAGTCTTTATTGGATGCCCATACAGAAAAGAAATCCTTTATGTAAGGCCTTTGTAGGTGTTGTAGTTGTGATGCCAGTGGAGGGGTTTATCAATGACAATGGTTCTCCTGACATGTCTATTCTGCACAGCCTAGGCAATGTAAAGGAGATTGTGGGAAACTAATGCCCCTGGGAGCAGAGAGGGCCTCCGAGAAAAGAGTGCCTCAACACCTCATCGATGTGGTGAAGGGTGATGGGTATATATGATGAATTTCCTTTGACTGAGGGATAATTGTACATGAGGTATGCAGGGAAAGCAGGGAAATGGTGTATCTGTACTATTCATACTGCTAAGGCGAATGGACCAGATTCCCATGTCGCTTCTGGATACGCCAAATATACGTGAAAGAAAGCATCGGCTGAATGAAAATCAGGAAATGTATCCTTTCCTCAGCAGCTACAGGACTAATGACTACAAAGTCGTCGAGTAAGTTGATGAGTTTCTTCATGTAGCTTAAGGTATTTGCCATGATAAACTTTGAACCCAATTTCTTAATGGAAATGATGGTCCTACGTTGTACCTTAGCCTCAGTTTGCAGGAAACCCAGGCTTTGTGACAGCAGATGCTCCCGATGGTCGCTCGCTGCCACTTTGCATTCCTTGTGTTACCTTCCAGGCTGTAGCCTTCTCCTCAGATTATTGAATCCTTTCCAAACTCTCTCTCTGTGCAGCTTTTCCAAACAGTGGTTGTGAAAACATAATGTAGATGTTCCAGCTCCATTTGCTGTGGCTTTTGTTCATTTCTCAGCTGATTTTGAAGCCCTGACCTTTGTTTTTCAGTTAATGGAAGTCTGGTCTGTGTAACCGTGTCACTGTATTGCTGCCCTGCAGAACTGAGGGGAAGCACTGCCTGTTGTTGTGCTCCACCAGTAAAAGAAATAAGGAAGAATGTTAGTGTTGGGCTGTGGCTGCCAGGAGGCTGGAGTGACTGATGGCTATGTGGTACCCATGGCTGGGCGGCCGTGTCTCAGTACTCCTTCGCGGAAGAGTGTGTCCTGCCAGGGCTCCACCTCAGAGATCTTTGGTACCTTGTGTTCCTGCTGGCACTGCTCATTATCCCAAGGCTATGGGGGTATCCCATCCACCTGTCTGTTCTCATTAGCTGAATGCAAAGAAGCTGTGGTGCATAATTTTGTGCTGGATTTTTCTGCGCAGGATGTCTCAGTTGCTTGGCTTTAAGAGGTGCTGGAGGAGGAAGTGTGTACGCACTACTACATAATGCCTCAGTCTTCCTTTATACTGCTGTTAAAATAGCTGCAGTAAGAGAAACAGGAATAACCTCAAAAAGAAGGAACTATGAGGAATGAGGTAAATGCTTGCTGTTTGCTGTCCCGCTGTGTGTAGTGAGAAGAATCCCAGAAGGTGTAGACCAGAATGTAGGATATCTGCTGCGATGGCTGAGCACGTGATTGGCACTTCTGCAGTGCCGCAGGGATGCAGGGATCCAGGGCAGCTTTACAGGGGCTAATAAAGCTGTGAGGAAATAGTGCTTGGGCAGGAATTACGCTGCATCACTTAACGCAGAACTGCCTTCAGGTTGAGACTTGCCCTGGGTTTGTGTGATTAACCCTGTTAGGTGTCTGATGTCCTTAGCTTTAAAGGAACCTAAGAATGAAGGGCTGTTTCCAAAGCAGTGGATCCTGTTCTTCAAGGAAACAATCTACACTTCATTTCTTCTGAAGAATCAAAGGAAGATTTTAAGGTTTTACAGAAGCTGCAAAACAGCAGCTCCTCCCCCATAGGTACCTGATTTGCATACCAACCTTTTCCATCTCGGCAGCGCAATGCCTGGGAGAGCAGCGTGTGTCTGGAGCGAGCGGGGCTAGAGCGCAGGGCGGTTACGCCGCGGCCGAGAGGAACCGGCGCGGCACCTCGCTTGCCAGTGCGAGAGGGGTCGTGCCGAGGGGCCGTCTTGGAATGGTGCTTTAGGAGACCGCACTGCACCAGGGAGGGAAAAGAATCTCTCTGCTTTTTTAAGAGCCTAGTTATTTTCCCTGCTTGGGTCATTGGCACTTGTCTTGGAAAATCACATTCACTATATCTGTATTTGCTCTTACAGATGGAGACTTATCAGATAGTAGTTTCCCCAACACAGACAGCTGTCATGCATTCACAAACACGAATCAGCTTTTGTGAAGGAGCTATCCAGGCGGTTTGACGCTAACTGATACAAAATATGTCCTCTGCCACTGACCCACAGGGTTTCCATAACCATAGAGTATGGTAGAGAAATTCCCCAGGAGCTTGTGAGACCGGTCTGCTGCGTGGTGCCTGCTGAGCACACGTACTGGCACTAGAGGCAGTGAATGTGTACATGACATTCATTGGAAGGCTTTCTATAGGTAAGGCACGGGCCGGCTGTGGATCTTACCTCTTTGTAAGTAAGATAGGAGTAGTTTCAGTAATATCTCAAAAAGAGGTATGCAACATTGCCATGGAAACAAACTTAATTCAATTTAAAATGCTTCAAATATCTGTGTTAATTACCATGTTCACTTCAGATGTGGGTACATTTCAATAATTATGACATTAATCTGGAATTCGTATTAACCGTAAATACCAATCTCAAAGGGTAGGTAGTTCCAAATAGTATAATTATCAAAAAGACAAATCATTTGTGTTTGAGAATATTCAGAATAGTTGTCATGAGATTTTAATTAATTTGTTACAATGTACATGTAAAAAAAACCACGCTGCATTTTTTTTTGTTTTTTTACCTTCCCAAATATTTTAACAGTGTACTTGGTAGTACCAGTCAACTGAGTAATTAAAACCCGTTCAGTTGTAGTTACCGTCTGTCCTCTATGAGGCTTACTCTTCTGCACTTCAGCTCAGTGAGATGTTTGCCATTAACTTCTGCAAATGCTCCTGCTAGGTCCCTGCCTTGAAGAGTTCAAACAGTGTGTTTATTTCCTTTGCCTCTCCTTAAAGTCTAGTCAATATTCTGTCAGAGAAACCGAAATATCCTTCTCTTGTAGTATTTTCTTTTTGTGAGACCTTGCTGTTCTCAACAGTAAAGTGCCACATGCATTCAAGATGAATACACTTAAATCAGACTCAAGGTTTCTTGCTTGTTCCAAACCCAACGTGCCCAGTTTTCCATCTGCTGATGTCTTCTGGTAGCTGGGTGTAGATCCTGCTCTGTAGCGACTTCAGTGGAAGTGTACACGCTTGTGTCAGAGTTGTGCTTGCTTAGTTTCTCTCCTATGGATGCATGTGTGCTTTTTGAGCTCCCAAGAAGTTATTTCTAAGCAAGCAAAAAAAAATCCAAACTAATAAACAAAAAAACCTCTCATGGTGGCACTTGGGAAAAAAACCTCTGTAGTAATCAGGTTAGTAATATGCTGTTTGGACTAACCATTATTAGCAAATAACTGCTCATTACAGTTTGTCATACAATGAATTCGCAGCCAATTGCATGTAATTCCTTTGCAAGTAACCTGCAATTCTAGTTTATAACATTTTTTACTGTAGATAAGAATATCAAATCAGGATTTATTGCTATGCTGTATTCCTCGTTGCTGTGGTTTGGGGTCAGAGCCACACCCAGAACCATAACAGATGCTCTCTTTTAACTCCCTCCCTCCACCCCCTGAAAGGGAGAGAGAAAGAGAATAAGGGAGAGAGACTTATTGATTAGAAAAGTAAAACCACTTTAATACTACCACTAATAATAATAGTAATAATGATAATAAAATGGAATATATACAAATATATACAAAACTGGTATTGAACCCAAATCCTGCCGATGGCAATACGTCACTGGCACCCCCGATGCTGTGGAGCAGCCCCAGGGAAAAGTCCCAGGCTGGACTCGGCCGCAGACAGCAGCTGGGTACAGGAGCTGGATTCTGGAATTTGGCTCAGGAACACAGGGCTCGGGATCAAAGGCAGAATGGACGGAGTCCTCCTCGGATGCTGCCCACTGCAGGAGCAGCAAAAGGGAGCAAGAAGGCGGGAAGGAAAATGGAAGGGGTACAGAAGGCCTTGTCCCTCCTGATCCTTCAGCTTTTACTGGGTATGACTGATATGGGTTGGAATACCCCATTGGTGAATCTTAGGGTCACTTATCCTGCCTGCAGGTACGATGTAGTCTCTACCTCCTTCTGTGCGGGATACAAGCTTAACAGTGGCCTTGGTCTGCACACCAGTCTCTGGCAGTAACTCTAAACATGAAATCTTATCACTGTAGAAGCAGGCAGTTCACTGAAAATGTGTTGTTAGCTTCAGATAGAGGAGTTAATTAGAAGAGCTTTAGCTGACAAGTTAAAATTACTGAGCAGAACCAGCTCTGGTTTACCCCAAACCAGTACACTCATGCAAAGAGGTGTTAACTTAAATGCTATAAAAAAAAGCCCAAATGTGTGTATTTACCTTGTAACGCAAGCTCTCCTGGATGCTGAAGGTGCAGTCTCAGGGCTGGCAGATGGGAGCGATGCAAGACGCTGCTGCCCTCCTGGGCTCGGCCTGCCCTCATGTCACCCAGACAGGCCCACTGTCAGCCGGGTCAAACACTCAGAAACAGCCCTTACCAGAACAATTTGGCAGGGCTCACTTCCCATCTGTCTGTCCACAGGCTTCCTGTTGCTCCCCTGAGAAGAGAGGTGAAACCATGCCCCAGAACTAGCCCCTGGGTGCTAATACCCAGATGACAAGAACTACCTTGCAGCCCCAGTCCTGACTCCATTCTGTCCCTACCATGGGTGTAGTAAGAACTTCTGCCTTAACCTTTCCCATGTTCTGCTGTGCTTTCCAAGTAGCCATCCTTTGTGCTTATTGCCAGTTAGGTGTATGTGGGCAACAGAAGGGTAAAAAACATTTTTGGAAATGTTCTTAGTCACTACCTTTTTCTCTTTTCTCTTAGAAGTGAAGAAGAAGGCTGGCTTTATCACTCCAGTGCCAGGAGGGGTGGGACCTATGACTGTTGCAATGCTTCTGAAGAACACTCTGATAGTTGCTAAAAAGCTCATTTACTAGAGCGAGTGGGCTACTTTGGAAGAGGAATCCAAGTTGTTCTATTTATTGAGAGACAAAACTTTTATTTTTTTTTTTACAAAGATATTTATTTCTACATTGTATTTATTTTTTCATGTAAAGTATGCTAAGCTGGATGGTTTACAAAATGTTAAAATACTTTGTGTTACCTCCTACTGACATATTGTGAGCAAAAATGGATTGGAGAATGCAGCCTACGCAGATACGTTGTTGGTGCTCAGTTGTGTGTATGAAAATGCAGAACAAAGCATAAATTACAAAATACTTGTGTATCTGGGCATGGGGTGCAACGACCAAGGTCTTCTAAGTGCTTGGGACCCTCAGTTTTGATCAAACAGTATAAAAAATGTTTCAACATTCTAGATACCTTTAAAAACTACGGTTTGGGTTCTGAGGTCATAAAGAACTCTGGATGTAGTTTGCAGTTTAAAAAAAATATATATATATATTTTTTTTTTTTTTTTAAAACACTTAGAGATAGCAGCAAACATCTTGAATCTGAAAGGAGTGCAAGACTGAAATTTTTGTTTTGGCTGCCAAGCAGTAATGTTGACATGAGTGCAGATGTTCAGCCCATTCTTTAAAATAGTCAGAACTGAATGCTGGTGAAATTCTGACCTCAAACATATGTGGGAGGTGTGCATGAATAAGTAAGTAGCCAGAAGTGAGGCCAGAATTATTTTCTTTTTGTATTTGGATTTATTCAACAAAATGTTTTGGTGCAGAATCCCCTCATCCCACAAAAAATCCTGAATAGATGACTGGACTGGACTTGAATTAGATGGAATATGGCTAAAACTATGATGTAGGGGAAAAGGGGAAGAGGAAACCAAAAGTTTACCCCTGATGAAATAATTGTGTTGGAATCTTAAGCCATTTAATTGCTCTCTTATTTTCTGAAACTGCATGAAGGGTTTTTTTTTTGGTACATGATGTAAGGCTCAACCCTAGAAATCCTTGCGAACAACATTTTGCTTCTTAGAGGGGACTATATAGGAGATCAAGATCAGTAAGTTTCTATTGCCAAGAATTTGGCAGTGTAAAAGAGTTGGAATGGAGTTACGCTTAAATGGCAATTGAATGGAATGTGTGCGCTATTGACATTAAGAGCCTACCCCAGCTCCCACTGAAGTCAGTGGGAGCCACTTTGGACTTTTATCTTCATGGTTTTATCTCAGTTGGGATAACCGATCTATTTTCATCAAGAGCCTTAGATGTTTGCCAGTAGGCAATAGATAACTTGAAAGGTGAAGAAAAATGATGGCTCAATGCTGTTGCCATCAAACAAAGAATTGCACTTCCTGTAATAAAAGAAACAAGATGGAGCATCACTTCCATGCTGATTGTTCTTCTGATGGACTTTCTGAGAGTTCTGCTTAGTGCCGTGTTTACAAGAGGTTGGCAGAATGGTTACTAGAAGTTCAGTGCTGCTAGTGCGGGCACTTGCTTACCTGTTGAAGTTTAAGCAGTAGTATACATGCGAAGAGAGTGGGGGTGCCTGTGGAGATACTACTGAGGCTGATGAACCCATCATTGTCTGAGATGGAATAAAGCCTGTTTGATGTTCTTTTACTCTTGGTAAAAAGTTTTAATACCATTTTTGGGGGAGGGTTGTCTTATTTCTTTTTTTATCAGTGTGATAAGAGTGAGGGCAATGGGGGTCTCATGCACGTTTAATCATTTCTTTATTTGTTTAACATTGCTGTTGTGGATTTGTGTTTGGGTTTTTTGATTCACCTATAATCATCTCTGCATTTTTTCCCACAGAATAATAATTTCTGGTGCTTTGCTTACATTGCTTGAGTGAGCCTGCCTCTTTCGTGTCCTTCAAACAGTTTATTATGCTTCTTAAGCTTTTTCTTCTCTCACCTACAGTGCATGGGTCAGCATTAGACAAAAGCCAGGCAGACGGAGGTTTCGCGCAGCTGTGTGTTATTTCCAGAGATGCCAGACGCACCAGTGAGAGCATTCTCCACTGGAGAACATCCAGAGGGAGCATCCAGAGGGAAGGGCCTATTAACCAACTCTAAAAACACGCTCATGTGCCAGACCCGGTCAGGCCCTGCGGCAGACAGAGGCACGGCCTGACCCACCAAAGCCTTCTCACGGGCCTCCCGCACCCAGCTGCATTGCTCCATGGCAAAGCAACTTCTCAGGTTCGAGCCGGATTAAGCTCCCATTGTGTAGAGTTGTGTTGAAAGCAAGGCTCGGGAGACTTAGCTCTGCTCAGGACCAATAGCAGAGTTTATCCAGGTAGGCATAAACACTCCTGTCGATCGGGGAGCGCACAAGCCGCACTTGATCGGCGTGCAGGCATGCGGCGATGCAGGCGGGCGAAGGAAGGGAAAAGCCTCCTGGAATGCAGTCCGAGAGCAGAACGCTTAATTAAAATGTGCAGAGCTAGCTTGTGTTTTCCTCGTAACATGTGAAGTGGTTACATTTAATCCTACGAATCACCGAGGAGATGCAGCGTAGAGGGAGACCTTGGGCTGACTGGAGTTATTTATCAGCAGATTTTTGGTTTTAAAATGTAGCAACTGTGAAATGTTTTTGTTGCTTGGAATTCACAGTTGAGAAAGCGAGAGTTGTGGCTGGAGTGAAGCATGTAGTTCTTCTCTGGGGAGAGGCGGGGTGTTGATGTGCGTGGACACTGTGGCACTGGGCCTTGCCGATGATCTCCTCCAGTATGTCTGGCTACCTAAGGACCCTTCAGAGAGACCAGCCCTACTTGTTCCAAGCAGCCTGTGAGCAAGGAAGCTGGACAGCGTTTGGGGTAGTGGAGGGTGGCATAGTGTAAGAAATGTGTACGATGGGTAAGTCATAGAGACCTACAAACACTTCCTGTAAAAAGTGTGGTTGTTCTCCTGATGCCCTGATGGGCTTTTGTGGCAGTGTAGCAGCAGGAGTGATGAAGGGATCACCCAATACAGGAGGCCACAGCTTACCTGCTCTTTTAGTCAGTGTTTTCTCTGCGCCTGTGCTTCACCAGCTTTTAATTTCTGCCCTGCATCACTACACATGGCTGCAGCCAGTGATCCCAGGCATTGCATGGAGCTGGTGGTCTGCCCCACTTCAGTGTTGTGCATGGAGGAAAGATGAATGAAGAGTGAGAGTATGCTTCTGGGGCTTGCCAGAGCCTGTGATCAAAGGGCTCTTGCTGGCAGTCACCGATGGAGAACATCATCCCTTATCTTTGTGCCCGATCACCACCTAATCTTGGCACTAGCTGTGCTCCCAGTTCCTCCTCTGGATGGCAAGGAACCGAGGTACGGGGAGGACCAAGGAGGGAATGCGAGCAAAGCAGGGGCTGGTTCCTGGACCCTGAACTCCAGGGTAGCCTCCTGGATGCTTCCTGTCCTCCTGGAAGTAACGCAAGACCTCCATGGCTAAGGGAAAGAAAGAGCACGTCTTTCACAAGACGTCATTTTTTGTTTTGCGTGCCTCTGTTTTGCTGCATTTTGTTGATCTGCTCTGGCAGATACCAGGTCTCTCTCTAAAACTGTATCTTTGCATGCACGATTATGCCCACAGGTAATAGGAAACCAGGGTTTCTAAAGAAAACCTGATCCCATTGCGAGATAATAGCAGTTTCCTAAATAAATGTGTGGTTGCCTCAGGGGTTGAGGTGGTTGCCAGATGCACCTTTTTTTGATTGGTGAGAACAGCAGATGACGCTTCATGGCATATAAGTGCAAGAGAAAACACAGAAGCACAGATAAGCAGAGCAAGCAAGCCATCTGGAAAGAAGAGGTGTTAAAGCAACTGCTTGCTATGGCATTTGGGATGCTAATCTATATTTTGCTGAAAGGTAGGTTTGGAGGAGGCCTCTCCCTGTCATAAGATACAAGGCTTTGTTGAACAATAGTTTACGCTTTCAGAAGTAAGCATTTTGGGGTGGGAAGCGTGCAAAGGCATTGCAGGGAGGAATTACTTCAGCAGTTGTAAACCTGGGTGAAATTTTAACTGATAGGGTATAATTTAGAGTCTTCAAAAGGAAGCTACTTAGATGGGTAAATAGGTGTAACATTGTAGTATCTGTGTCATAAATTGTGTAAGATAATAGAAGGGTGAACAGAAAGGAAATGCGTTTTGGAAATTTGAAAACAACAGTTTGTTTCCCCACAATTGTAATTATGTGGTGGCAAAAGGAAGTTTAAGGCCGGAATGTTTTATATGAATCGTTATTCTATTCCTGCATGGTGTCTGAACTGTCGAAGGGGGTGTGTGTTCTCTGGGTGAAGTGAATCTTGAATAGATATACTCAGTTTTTCTGTTACAGTAAGCATCTATTTGCATTACACAGCAATGGGGGCACTGAGTGAAGAGTCAGCTATTACCGTTTCATCCCTCAGCACAGACTTATGGAATAATTGGACAAAAAACAACACTGAAGGTATTTCTCTTTTGTTCTGTTTGTCTCTTTTAATCTGTCACTTAAAGAAAACCCCACAACTAAACAACAAACAAGCCCAAACCAAAAAATACCTGACAAGATCAGTTATGATGAAAGCCGCTATAATGCGCCTGTCACTTTGACGCTGTTGAATTTTGTGTTTGTTTGTGAGATGAGCTGCTTTCTTCATGGAGCCTTAAAAAACCTCTCTGAAGTAACAGCTGCCACTCAGCTGTGGTAGGAGCAGCACTGACCAGCTAAAGGATAATTTATCCAAAGTTGGTTATAATTTGAAGGAGATATTTTAAGGCCAGTAGGGATAGATGACCTGCATTTCTGACAGCCGTTCCTGTTCCTTTTCCTGTTACCTTGCTTTCTAGCTGTCTTCAGTGGGGATCTTTATACACAGAAGTGAGAGCGCAGCATGTGTAACTTGTTAAGAGATGTCTCTCGTTCCTGTTACTCAGGAATTTCTTTCTTTGTTGCAGTTTTAGTCTCGGCTGTTGCAGCTCCCACAGCCCTCTTCAGAGTGCTCGATCTCTCTTTGCTTTCTTTTCCTTTCCTGACTGAAATGTGAACTCAAGCTCTT